CTAATTTTTTTTATTTTTCTAAACCTTATTTGTATATACATAATTCGATTTGTCAAAATAAGAAAAAATGTGAGTATGTTGACAATTTACAATATTACTAGTCCGTCTGCACTTTTAAATATTAGTGTAAAGCGATAATTTTTATATATCCTTCCAAATTTTATGAAATAATACGAATTACAAAAATTCAATCTAGCCTATTTTTTAATTATTGTCTACTTTCTTACAAATAATATTGAATAATTTTTTTTATTTATTAATATGATTTTGATAATCCATAAATGAAAAACTTAATTAATTTATACAAATAAAATCTTCATAAAAAAATCTCAATTTTAAGCATAATAAAGCAAAAATTTGCATCTCATTTAACATGAACAAATTAAAAAAATTATCTTGTACAGTTTATGTTAAGTTACATGATTAAATAATTATTATATGTAAAAGATCAATAAAAATTGTAATTTGAAACAAATTTAAATTACCGATTAAATAATCATTATATGTAAAAAAATTAATAAAGTAAAACTGTAATCAGCAACAAAAAAATATAAAACTTTTGAAAGAATTGTATATTAATTATTTTTATTTTTTTATAAATTATTAGAAAATAAAATAACCGTATTGTTATGAAATAATGGTAATATACTCTTTTACCATTTACTAAATACTTTTCAAAAAATGAGCCTAGAAAAAATAGTTTAAATAAATTTTTTCACTTACTCTTTTAAGTGAAAAAAAATAAAAACTTGGGAAAGAATTGTATATCAGTTATATTTAACTTTATTAATTTATTACAAACAAACTAAACGTATCATTAGGAAATAATGGTAATATATTTTTTTTAACATTTATTAAAAACTTTTTAAAAAATGTTCATAATAAAAATAATTTAAAATAAATATTCTAACTTATTCTTTTAAGCACATCTTTATTTTTAAACATATTTGCATTTTTAAACAGATTTATTGATACGTGTATGTTTCTAAAAAAATATATTTGCATTTTTTTAAAATAGAATGTTTTTATTTTATTTATTTGGAACATGGCTGCTGATATGGAAAATGTGTGACCAAAATGTTAATTTTTTGGATATTTTTTTAATATTTATTTCCCGCATCATATACATAATGAATTACTATGCGTGTGTGTTCGACTTTGAGTAGATAAGTGATTGATTCAACTTATAAATTAAAAAAGTAGAAACTGCAAAATTGATCCCTTACGATTAGTTCCAAACAGTTGCTAATGTCTTGCACGTGAGCCCTGTTAGTTTTGACGACTATAGGACAATTTCTACAAATAAATGCAATTTTTGGTACCGATAATAGAAATGTCCCAAACGAGTGGGACCAAAATTTCAATTTTCAGCTTACTATATATAGAAGTATAGAATTAGGCTATGTTTGGTAGACAAATAAACTAATTTATAACTTATTTGGTTAGCTAATAAGCTTTTTATATTTAAATAACCTTTGTTTAGTAGGACGAACTTATTTAAAAAGCTCGAACTTATTTCATAAGCTTCTTTAGGTAGCTTTTCAAATAAGCTCGTTGAAAATTTTATTTCATCTAGCTTATCAGCTAATTTTGCTAAACACTTTTATCATATAAGCTAGCTTTTCAGTTATAAGTTATAAGCTCGAAAATTACTGATCAATTATAAGCTAGCTTATCAGCTATCAGCTAGTCTTACCAAACATAGTCTTAGACTTATGCCAAATAAGCTAGCTTATAGCTTATTTGGTTAACTTATAAGCGTACTGTATTCAAATAAACTTAGGACAAGGTTTTTTAAAAGGCTCGAGCTTATCTCATAAGTTTATTTGGGTAGCTTTTCAAATAAGCTGGTTGAAATTTTTATTTTTAGCCAGCTTATTATCTAATTTTACCTAACACTTTTATCGTAAAACTAATTTTCAGTTATAGCTTAACCTATCAGTTCAAAAATCACTTATAAGCTATCGGCTACCTTCTCAGTTAACTTTATCAAACAGAGTCTAAGTGTCAAAACACCTACCTTTGGAGCCCGGAGTCCAAATTAAATTTTACAATTACAAAAAAAAGTTGAAATGTTAGGGGTTGGGGATTTTGTCATACTTTCCTAGGAAGATTTTGGGGGAAAAACATGTTCAAATTACTCTCAAAAGTCCCAACCAGTTGACCATTTGTCCATTTCCATACTACCCAAAAAAAACACTCACAAATGCATGCCTAAGTATGTGCTGTGCTATTTTGGTGTATGCGTGTGAGTTTGGTGGTAGGCGTGCATATGAATGTGGCCATAATTGGAGTGTGTCACCATACATTAATTATTAATTAATGTCATGCTTTTTTATGCTTCACTTTTTTTTTTCTTTAATATTTTCTTCAAACAAAGTAAATGATTTGATTTAAAAGGAAAAATCTAATATTATTATATATACTTTGTTATTGTTTTTGTATTGGTTTTTATTTAATTTTATCAAGGCCTGATCAATTTTATATGTTTTGGGTTGTTAGCAAGTAAATTGCCAATATTATTTAAAAAAATTACTAGATTATAATTGGAGTGTTAAGCCAAAAGAGATAAAAAAACAAATTGGGTGATTTGAGGTTTTAAAGATATTAACATACCTTTCCTTGATAGATATACGTTAGAGATAACTTCTGAAAAATTTTGAAAACTAAAAACTTATACATGCGCAAACTTTTTATTTTTTTTTTAATAATAATTCAAAATTTCTTATTACATGCTCATAGTCATAGATTATATAGCATTAACACTCAACATAGATACACTGAATATATTTTTCTTTTTAGTTGTTCAATTAAAGTAGCTTGTAAGTTAAGGGGATTTCTTTTTTATCAACATTTTTATATTATTTACTAGTAACATGTTTGATCAAGAAGAAATTCATAATTTC